ACCTGAGCTGAAACCAAGAGTCAGAGGCTTAACTGACTGAGCACTCAGACACCCTTCCAAATAGTAACACTTCTCAATGTATCTTCCTTGGGGCACCTGGGTGGCTCAGGTGATTCAGCGCCCAGCTTCAGCTCAGGTTATGATCTCACAATTCATGAGTTTGTGACCCACATCGGGCTCTCTGCTGTCAGCACAGAGCCCGCTTCAGATACTCTGTCCCCTTTTCTTCCTGTGTCCTCCCCTGTTTGCACTCACTCAAAAAAATAAATAAACATTAAAAAACAAAATATATCTTCCTTCCTATACACTCTGCATTATCTTAACTGCAAAATTTTGATAGGAACTATAGTGTTTCCCTCTACGTGATTATTCTTTCAGCAAGGCTCCCATCATCAACAGCAGAAGTCCTAATGTAGGTTGAGTAAGAATAACAGAAGATGTGTGAACTGAGTTTAATAAAACCTAAGTATCAAAAGGAAATAATATAGGAATCACCCTAGATTCTCACTGTTCACACACTCTGAACTGCTCTTCTCAAGCTCCCAACCCACAGACTCAGTTCTTAGGTAACTGCTGTGACCGTTTTTCACAGGAAGCAACAGAAGGCACATATTTACAAACAAGCCTATGAAACATGTAAGTTTACTACATCAAAATGCTCACTATATTTCAATGGTAAGGTTTTTTTTTTAAGAGAGAAAATAAATATATGGTATTTTAAAAGTAGATATATCTTGTCAAGTATCACAAAAACTATTTGATAATTTCCAATTTCTGGAAACAAAAGATAACATCTACTAGTGATTTTAAAATTCCTTTCTAATGAAACAGGAAATTGTAAGACATTTCACTTAGGGCTTACTGATGCATGCTATAGAGAAAGTTACCAGAGGAGAATTAAAGCTACTTAAGTAACCAAGTTATAATTACCAACTTAATTACAACTTTCAAAAAAATGTAATATTTAACATCTAAACTTAATTTGATGAAAGGTAAGATTTTAATTCATTAAACTATCATTAAAACAAAGTGATATTAAAAAAAATTAACTTTAACTGAAAAGTATTCCAAATAATTATTGCAAAGAATTCCATTTAGCAAAGTTCTTACAATCTTAGTATTTAATAAATTAATTTTAGTAATAAGCTGCAGTTTATTAACTGTTCTGCATGACCTTGCAATCAAGACACTAAAAGATGAAAAACATCAACGAATCAATGTACATATATTTATCCTAAATATCTACTACACACAAGAACTGTTAAAAAACAAAGAAACATAAGACTTGGTCCCCACCTGAATGATGCATAATCTCAAGAAACATCTATGCATCTGTGCTATATAAGAAAAGTTATCTGAAAATACGATTAAACAATAATATAAATAGGAAGTAATAAAATCAAATGTATGACGTTGCCAGTATTTTGAGGAAGGAAAAAATGCTGTCTAGTTGAGATATTTGGAGGAGCTTCATGGAAAAGGTAGAATGAGTAAACTTTAGGTAAAAGGTGGGGAAAGGAAAGGACATTCTTGGAAGAGAAACTTAGTGAACAGAAATGGAAAGTATGTTTAGGCAACAATGGACAAGTCTTAACTGGTATAAAGAATGGAGACCTCTAGGAAGGGGTTAGATAGTGGAGAGTTTGCTATATGAAGGACTGAAGAGTCTTGGGATACTTGGTACATTTTAAGTGCTAAAGTCATGTTTGCAACCCTTTGAAGGTAGAGATTGCTTTAATAAATGAGGGGTGCCTGGGTGGCTTAGTCAGTTAAGCAACCAACTCTTTGATTTTGGTTCAGGTCATAATCTTGAGGTCCACGGGTTTGAGCATCACATTTGGTTCCATGCTGACAGCGCGGAGCCTGCTTGTGATTCTTTCCCTCATACACACTCTCTCTCTCTCTCAAAAATAAATAAAATTATAAATAAATAAATAAATAAATAAATAAATAAATAAATAAATAGCAGAGAAAGAACCAGTATGTATCTGCATTGTATGCTTTAAATGCATGCATCTTGTATATGTAATTTATGCATGCATTAGGTCAATTTTTAAAATTTCAACTACTATCAAGGATGTTCCCTCTACTGACAACTCCTTTACCATGCTTCCATATTTTCATGATCAAACACATTCAAAGTCAAGCTACCATAATTATGTAACCAAAGCCTTTTAAAAAGATAATGCTCTGGGGGCACCTGGGTGGCTCAGTCAGTTAAGCTTCAGACTTCGGCTCAGGTCATGAACTCACAGTTCGTGAGTTTGAGTCCCATGTCAGACTCTATGCTGACAGCTCAGAGACTGGACCCTGCTTGGGATTCTGTGTCTCCCTCTTTCTCTGTTCCTTCCCTGCTCACACTCTCTCTTTCTCTAAAATAAAAAAGATTTAAAAAATTAAAAAAAAAAAAAAGCTAATGTTCTGGGGTGCCTGGATGTTAAGCATCCAATTCTTGGTATCAGCTAAGTCAGTTAAGTCAGCTAAGTCAGTTAAGCATCCAATTCTTGGTATCAGCTTAGATCATGAGATCAACCCCCAAGTTGGGCTCCGCAATGGGCACGAAGCCTGCTTAAGATTCTCTCTCCCTCTGTTCCTCCACTACTTGCATGCACGCAAGCATGCATGTTCTCTCTCCAAAAAAAAAAAAAAAAAAAAAAGTAATAATAAAAAGCTAATGTTCTCTTTACCTCTACCTTGCCTAGTCACATCTATCTTGTACACTGCTGCCAAAATAATGTTCCAAAAGAACCGTTCTGAATTAGGTTTATCTCTGCTTTACAAACTTGGAAATGATGCCCACAGCCTTTCCTCTAAGAAATAATCAACCTAGACTTTAAAGTCTTCTACAATTTGAGCTCAACCTACCACACTGGTCTTATTTTTCACTACTTTCTTTACATAAACATCATCTTTCTTCAAACTCCACTACGTTTTTTCTAAATATATTTTGTCTACTTTCATTTTCTATGCCTGTCCTCAGGTGTTCTCTCCAAAGGATATATTCTTCCCTTCCACTTTAATTCTACCTACAATTCAAAATCTACCTCAAATGCTTACCCCTATGAATGGAGTATTTTCTGAAGGCCCCTTCAGGTATGAACTCTTCATTCTCTAAACTTTCACTGAAGTCTGTGCATGAAAACTAAAAACACCATTCTTTATGTCATTAAAAGAGAATGACCTTGAGGACCTCACATGATCTATACTCGTACATATATAACTAAAACTTATATAGGACAATCTAGAAGGACATGCTTAGCACACATATTCATTCAAAACATACTTACTGACAGAATGATAATTCACATATTGTAAATATCCCAAAGACATTCACGTAAGAATACAAAAATAGGATGGTTATCTTAACAGGTTTTTTTTTAAAGGAATTTTACCTTTTCAGTTGTAAGAGGTTTTGCAGGCTTTTCTGGTTCCTTTTCTTTCTTTTTCTCTTCCTTTTTTTTTTCCTTTTCTTTCTAAAACATAGACCAAAGTTTTGATAAGTTCACTTTTAAGGAAATGTCAGCTGTTAACACATTTTTATTTTATTCGTTTCAGTAATTATTTAAGGAAGGATTCAAAAATGACAATATCCAGTGATACTGAAATATAAAAGTAAACACAGCAACTACATACTCTCATTGAGATTACATGTTGATAATACAACATGTTTTAAGAAATTTAAGACAGAGGTGAAAGTATTTAGAACTTCTTCAAAATTTCAGTTTGTTTTAAACAAATGAGACTTTTTTTCAATAAATTCTCACTCCATCTTAGAGATTAGGCTTCCTAATACCAACCATAATGTTGAACTTTGAGCAAGATCACAGATCTTCACACAGATGAAGACATTACAACATGTAAATGTGAGGCAAAAAGGGAAAAAATAATTTAAAAAAATTTTTTTTAATCTTTATTTATGAGAGAAAGAGAGACTGAGCGCAAGCAGAGAAGGGGCAGAGAGAGAGGGAGACACGGAATCTGAAGCAGGCTCCAGGCTCTGAGCTGTCAGCATAGAGCCCGTTGTGGGGCTCAAATCCACAAACTGTGAGATCATAACCTGAGCTGAAGTCAGACGCTTAACCAACTGAGCTACCCAGGCACCTATTTAAAACTATCACAAAACAGGAGCGCTTGGGTGGCTCAGTTGGTTAAGGGTCCAACTTCAGCTCAGGTCAAGACCTCACAGTCAGTGAGTTCAAGCTCCAAGTCAGGCTCTGTGCTGACCACTCAGAGCCTGGAGCCTGCTTCAGATTCCGTGTCTCCCTCTCTCCCTGCCCTTCGCCTGCTCATGCTCTGTCTCTCTCTCTCTCTCTCTCTCTCTCTCTCTCTCTCTCTCTCTCTCTCAAAAATAAAATAAACATTAAAAATAAATAAAATTATGACAAAATATGTTTAGTCCATTACATAATGTGATTTTTAAAAAGACAAATACAATAATAATTTTCTCATTTAAAAAAATGTTAAGGATATCCCTGATAACAGAGCAAACTGACCAGTTAGTGTATTTAACCCAATCCAGTCTAGGTAAAATGTAATGCTACTATGATGTACACAATCTGCATTTCCAAGAAGGATAAAACAGGATATAATATTAAAACTTAAGGGCCCCAAACCCGCCAAAAAAGGAAAATGAAATAAAAGAATAAACAGTGATTCGGGGTGCCTGGGTCAGTCAGTTAAGAGTCTGACTCTTGATTTCGACTCATGGCATGATCTCACGGTTCATGGGTTTGAGCCCCAAGTCTGGCTCTGTGCTGACAGTACACAGCCTGCTTGGGATTCCCTCTCTCCCTCTCTCTCTGCCCCTCCCCAACTCTCGAGCACTCTCTCAAAATAAATAAATAAACTTTAAAATAATGATCAAACAATGAGCGTTCATAAGGCATTTAAAGGGAAGAGATATCTAGAAACCTGTAACTGAATCACAACAAATGAGTATTAGTTAGTATCTGAGTTTCCTTTCAGTAAATGGTTAAAGATACACTGATGAACCTCAAGAAAGGCAGAGTAAGAAGCACATAAGCACATTTAGTCAAAATGCCTATGGGCCTGTTTGTACCTGTGCCTTTAAAATGGTATTTGAACCACCTCTCTCAACAGCAGAATTTTTACTATTTGTAATTGAGAAAATACTGGCAATTCCTAGGCTATAACATAAGGGTTTAATAAAAGTTCCTATGGGCCAGACACTGTGATAAGCACCTTATTTTCTAATTTAATTTAATCAATAAGTGTCTGAAAAGAATGTCATTATAATCATTTTACAAATGAAGAACAAAAATTAGGAAAGGGATAAAGCCACACAGCTCATCAGCAGGAGGACCTAGGGAAGACCCCAACTCTCAAGTCACTGTTCATTGCCATCCAGTGAGCACTGGTACTTAGTACTATTCTTCCATAGAACAATGGTTAATATTTCCTGAACCCTTACTATGTGTGAGACAGTGTTTTTACTCATTTAATCCTTCCAACAATTCTATGAGGTGAGTAACCTTATTCCCGTTAATAAGTGAAGAATAAATGAAATATGCAAAAATCCTTTATCTATTATGAAATGTTTGGTGAAGAAAGCAATCAGTGATTGTCACTAATATGTTGGGAATGAATTATTCTATAAATTCACAAGATTGTTAATTTCTCAAGGAAGGTACAATCAAAAGAGTGGAGAAGCAGCTTGTCTTTCTAATCACTATGACTGGTAAGCACATACGAAATCACCAAAACTGAATTAGATTATTTACCTATGTTTAATAAAGAGAGAGCACAATTCAGTTCTCTTTAACCCTGGAATTTCAGCTGCTAAAATATGGCTGTTATCCAATCTGATTCCAGCAGGGGTATTATGACACAAGCTTTGAAGCAACATTAAAAACATGGGCTCTAAATTCAGATCATATAGTTTGATCCACAAATGACTCCCATCTCTAGAATCAAAAGCTGCTAAAAGATCAAAGAGTACTGTGAAAACCTAATTTGTTTTAAACTATTTTCTCAGCAAGAACAAAGTACCGCAGTGTTTGGTATTATAAAATAGTTCCTGAAACTTGGTTGCTATATGTACAAATGATACAGTGAAACACTTTCTGTGTAAAAATAACTGAAATAAATGTTCAGTTCCTAGAAGGTAAAGATAAGCACACAGTGGGTTCATTATACTCAAATGACACTTGAGTGATTTAATCAAAGATACGGTCTTCAAAAACTTTTATTATGTACTCCTACCTTAAAAAGTTGCAAGCATATATACTCTACCATATGTATATATTTATTTACAAAGTATATATAGCACTATATTATGCACATTATAAAACACACATAAAAGAAATGTTGAAAGTATAACAAAAAAAGCACAAATAGGCATAAATAAACTGCCCTGGGGTTCTCTCTAATATCTAATGCTATTGACATTAGACTTTGGAAACTACTGAATTAGACCAATGCCCTTTTTTAAAATTGAGGTACAATTTACATATAACATTAATTTCTGGTGTACAACATAATGATTCAATATTTACATGCACTGTGAATTGATCATTACTAGAAGTCTAGTTTCCTCCTGTCACCACATAAAGTTACATAAATGAAATACAGTACTGTTGCTCTAGTTACCATTCTATACATTGCTACCCATAAATTACTTACTTTATAACTGAAAGTTTATATCTCTTGATCTTCTCCAATGCCCCCCCAACCCCAACGCTGGCAACCACCAATATACTTGTTCCATCTATAAGTTTTGTTTTTGTTCTTTCTTTTGCTTTTTAGATTTCACATATAGATGAAATTATAAGGTATTCATCTTACTCTGCCTGACTTATTTTACTTAGCATAATACCATAAAGATTCATCCATGTTGTCACAAATGGCAAGATTTCATTTTTCATATGCCTGAATTGTGTCTGTTATATATATATAAACCACATTTTTCTTTTTTTTTTTTTTATTTTGAAGAGCATATGCAGATCAGGGAAAGAGCAGAGAGAGAGAGAATCTTAAGCAGGCTCCACACTCAGTGTGGAGCCCAACACAGGGCTCAATACTAAAATCCTGGGATCAGGACAAGAGCCAAAATCAAGAATTGGGACACTCAACCAACTGATCCACTCAGGCACCCCTTAACAACATCTTCTTTAACCATTCATCCACAGATGGACACTTTGGTTGTTTCCATATCTTGGTTATTGTCAATAATAATGCAATAATCATATCTTTTCAAATTACTGTTTTCAGTTTCTTCAGATATCCAGAAGTAGAACTGCTAGATTATACGACAGTTTTATTTTTAGTTTTTTGAGGAACCGACACACTATTTTCCAGAATGGCTACACAAATTTACATTCTTACTAACAGGGCATAAAAGATCCTTTTTCTCTATGCCCTAACATTTGTAAATTTTTTGCCTTTTTGATAATAGCCATTCTAACAATGCTATCTCACTGTGGTTTTGATTTGCAGTTCCCTGATGATTAGTGATGCTGGACATCTTTTCATGGGCTAGTGGGTCATGTGTATGTTTTCTTTGGAAAAATGTACATTTTTATGGGATTTTTTTCTTGTTATTGAATTGTGTGAGTTCCTTACATACTTTGAATATTAACCCCTTATTACATATATGGTTTCCAAATATCTTCTCACATCCAATAGGCTGCCTTTTCCTTTCACTGACAGTTTCCTTTCTTGTTCAACACCTTCTTAGTTAGATGTAGTACCCTTTATTTTTGATTTGTTGCCCTACCTTTTGAAGATGCAAAAAAAAAAAAACAAAAACAAAAAAACAAAAACCATCACTAAGACTGATCTCAGGGAACTTAACTGCCTATGTTTTCTTCTAGTAGTTTTATGATTTCAAATCTTGCATTGAAGTCTTTAATCCATACTGAATTAATTTTTGTATACAGAATAAGATACTGGTCCAGTTTTTCCAAACCATTTATTGAAGGCACTGTGCTTTCTCCATTGATATTCTCGCGTCCTTGGGGATAAATTAATTGACCATATATATGCAGGTTTATTTCTGTGCTGTCTATTCCGTTGCAGCAATCTAGGTATCTGCTTTTATGCCAATATCATACTGTTTTGATGGTCATACCTTTGTAATATAGTTTGAAATGTGAGGCCTTCAGCTTTGTTCCTGTTTCTCAAGATTCCTTTGGCTACTCAGGATTTTTTGTGGTTCCATACAAATTTCAGAAATATTCGGAGAAGATGGCGGCGTAGGAGGACTCTGAGCTCACCACGTCCTGCTGATCACTTAGGTTCCACCCACACCTGCCTAAATAACCTAGAAAACCACCAGAAGACTAGCAGAACGGATTCTCCGGAGCCAAGTGTAGACAACAGGCCCATGGAGGAGGGTAGGAAGGGCAGAGAGGCGGTGCGCGCCCCACGGACTGGAGGGAGGGAGCCGGGGCAGAGGGGCAGCCTGCTGGCAAAGCAGAGCCCCCGAGTCTGCCTTGCAAAAGCAGAGGGGCCA